TGGGAATCCAGAACTCAATTATTGCTTATGCGATGGTGTGGTCAGTAGTGCCGGTCGTGAGGGCCGCACTCTTTGTGTGGGCACTTACGAGTACCATCAGGTTTGGCCCGACTCGACAGGTCTTCGCCTAAACAACACGTGTCCCATAGCTCCGGGTTTCTCTGGCGGTCCGTTGATTAACATGAGTGGACAGTTGGTTGGCATCACTTACGGCGGATCGGGTTTTGGGATGTTTCGGGACAACTTTGCCATCAGAGCCGCTGATATAAAAGGTTAGAAATTACTAAAAAAAAGAGGCAATTATAGGCTCAGATTTTTCAAATTAATTATTTCGTTGATTTTACAGATGTTTTCAATGATATGAAACTGTTTTCAGAGAAGAGACACACATATAGTGCGGAGAAATCATTGGGATTAGCGGTCATACCATTTACAAGAGATTTGTGGTCACGGCTTATGGGTCCACATATTCAATGCCCTTTGGAAAATCGTGGGCTTTTTGTTTGGAAAAAATTGATGACCAATTCATTGCCGATTCCGTAATACTATTTTATTATTTATTTAATTTAACAATAATTTATAATACATTTTTTAAATTTAATTATTTAATTGGTTTATTAACAGCAATGAAATCAATGAGTTTGATCTTATCGTTGGAGTGAACGGCCGTCTCATTAATTCTGTGAACGAATTGAGAGATTATTGCCATAATTGTAATCCCAATGAAGTCCTCACTATATTTGTTATCCGAAAACTTGATGTGAAAAACAAATTGCAATTTCAAGTCAAACCCCAATCCATTGTTTCTCCACTTATTTAACTTTATTTCTAATAATAGCTAAATTCAAACACATTTTATTAACTTTTTGATAATTATAAATCTTATATCAATACCATTTCAACATGTATTAACTAAATAACTATATTTTAAGTGAGTTGTCAGGCATTTAAAATGCCATTACTATACTATTAAAAATACGGATTCATTGAATTGCATTGCATTGTGTACTTATATCAAAATAATTTATTTAAAAAGCATTTGTTTAAATAGATATCTATTCTGTTCTATTAGTATTACGGGTAAAATAATGTCATTTTATACGGTATATACCTTATATGTTGACCACTTAATTGAGTGTATTGTTGCGCGCGATAATCAAACGGTTTGCAACAACTATATCAGCGTAATCATAAAGTTTGCATTTTTGTTGAAAAAGCCAACGATTTAACATTTTTATCAAGAGTTTAATAACAGTAAACTTCTCGTGAAAGTTACGATTTGTTGTAGTTTTAGAATTTTGTTTTTTGATTTGTTTTTCTGTTTTTCCCCTAATATTAAAGTATTTTAAATGTTTGTTAATTAAACCAATTATTTATATCCGAAATATAATTGTCGGCAATGTTTTCACTTATTAAATATAATAAGAGGTACTATTAAATCAATTTAAACTATAAATTACATCAGTAAAAATTTAATCAATGGTTACGTATATCATTAGTTTTGGTTTAGTTTTGGCCGCAATTTCGTCCAACTATTTGTATGGAAAGTACAGAAAACATCAAAACAATCAAATTGTGGCAAATGTTCAACAGATGAGACCAAACCTGTCGATGAGATGCGCTCACATGAGTGATGGCAGTGCCCTAACCATCGATCAGATCTCTAGACAATATGCTAATTGTTTTGCAAAAGTACTCAATATAGAAGGAAATCATCCCAACGGCAAGTATACAATTTCGTTGGGTTCGGGTGTGGCTCTGGACAGCACCGGTTATATACTGACCAATTGTCACGTGGTGGGAGAGTCATCGCTTTTCTACATCGAGCGATTCATTGCGGACAACTGGGGTGTAGTCGATAGCCGCGGACTATCGGCTGAGAGTATTGGACGCGTCATATATTGCTGTCCGCAGTTAGATATCGCGGTCGTCTACTCGAAGTGTTCCGAATTACCCCACATTCAACCCCGAGAGCTAGCGCTTAGTGCACACGATGGCGAACCCGTGATGTCTATCGGAAATCCTTTAGTTGATTATAGTGTATGCGATGGTGTGGTCAGTACTGCCGGTCGTGGAGGCCTCGATTGGCCCGACCCGTCAGGTTTTCGTGTAAACCACACGAATCCCTTATTCATGGGTTTCTCTGGCGGTCCGTTGATTAACATGAGTGGACAGTTGGTTGGCATCAATTACGGCGGTTCGAGTGGTGGGAAGTTTCGGGACAACTTTGCCATCAATACCGCAGATATAAACGGTTAGAAATTACTAAAAATTAAGGCAATTATAGGCTCAGAGTTTTCAAATTAATTATTTCATTGATTTTACAGATGTTTTAAAAGACATGAAACTGTTTTCAGAGAAGAAACACACATATAATGCAGAGAAATCATTGGGATTAGCGCTTAGAGAAGTAACCCCTGATTTGTGGGATGAGATGTTTGGATTATTTTATGAATCTCCTATAAATGAAGGGCTTTTAGTTTTGTATAAATTAAAGACCAATTCATCACAGATTCCGTAATTATATTTTATTATTTTTTTAGATATTGTTTATATAATAATGCATTTATTTTAATTTAATGGTTTATTTAATATATTAATAGCAATGATATCGAAACTTATGATATTATCGTTGGATTGAATGACAATCCGATTAATTCTGTGAACGAATTGAGAGATTATTGCCATAATTGTAATCCCAATGATGTCATCGAGATATCTATTGTCCGAAACCTCGATACAAACAACAAATTGAAATTTCAAGTCAAACCCCAATCCATTGTTTCTCCACTTATTTAACTTTATTTCTAATAATAGCTAAATTCAAACACATTTTATTAACTTTTTTGATAATTATAAATCTTATATCAATACCATTTCAACATGTATTAACTAAATTTAAACTATATTTTAAGTGAGTTGTCAGGCATTTAAAATGCCATTACTGTACTATACTATTAAAAATACGGATTCATTGAATTGCATTGCATTGTGTACTTATATCAAAATAATTTATTTAAAAAGCATTTGTTTAAATAGATAGCTATTCTGTTCTATTAGTATTACCGGTAAAATAGTGTCATTTTATACGGTATATACCTTATATGTTGACCACTTAATTAAGTATTGTTGCGCGCGATAATCAAACGGTTTGCAACAACTATATCAGCCTAATCATAAAGTTTGCATTTTTGTTGAAAAAGCCAACGATTTAACATTTTTATCAAGATTTTAATAACAGTAAACTTCTCGTGAAAGTTACGATTTGTTGTAGTTTTAGAATTTTGTCTTTTCATTTGTTTTTCTGTTTTCCCCATAATATTAACATATTTTAAATGTTTGTTAATTAAACTAATTATTTATTTAATTGTAATATAATTGTCGGAAATGTTTTCATTTATTAAACATAATAAGAGGTACTATTAAATCAAATTAAACTATAAAAAATCTAATCTATCGTTACGTTTATCATTAGTTTTGGTGTAGTTTTGGCCGCAATTTCGTCCAACTATTTGTATGGAAAGTATAGAAGACATCAAAACAAACCAATTGTGGCAAATGTTCAACAGATGAGACCAAACTTGTCGATGAGATGCGCTCACATGAGTGATGGCAGTGCCCTAACCATCGATCAGGTCTCCAGACAATACGCTAATTGGTTTGCAAAAGTGATCAATTTGGACGGCAATCATACCGACGGCAATTATGCGGTTTCGTTGGGTTCGGGTGTGGCTCTGGACCGCACCGGTTATATACTGACCAATTGTCATGTGGTGGGAGAGTCATCGCTTTTCTACGTCGAGCGATTCATTGCGGACCGCAATGGTATAGTCGACGGCCGCGGACTACAGGCCGACTCAATCGGACGCGTCGTATATTGCTGTCCGCAGTTAGATATCGCGGTCGTCCACTCGGAGTGTCACGAAATACACCAAATTCAACCATTAGAGATGGCGCTCAGCGCATACGATGGCGAACCCGTCATGTCTATCGGAAATCCTATAGTTGATTATTGTGTATGCGATGGTGTGGTCAGTACTGCCGGTCGTGGAGGCCTCGATTGGCCCGACCCGTCAGGTTTTCGTGTAAACCACTCGTGTCCCTTGTTTATGGGTTTCTCTGGCGGTCCGTTGATTAACATGAGTGGACAGTTGGTTGGCATCAATTACGGCGCATCGAGTGAAGAGTTTCCGGACAGTTTCGCCATCAATACCGCAGATTTAAAAGGTTAGAAATTACTAAAAAAAAAATTGAGGCAATTATAGGCTCTAATTATTTCATTGATTTTACAGTTGTTTTAAACGATATGAAACTGTTTTTCGAGAAGAAGTGCACATATAGTGCAGAGAAATCATTGGGATTAGCGCTCAGACCAATGACTATAGAGTTGTGGAAAACGCTTTTCGGATCAGATTCTGAATGCACTATAAATGAAGGGCTTTTAGTTTTGAGAAAATTAACCACAAATTCAGTGTCGATTTTGTAATACTATTTTATTATTTATTTAATTTAACAATAATTTATAACACATTTATTTTAATTTAATTATTTAATCGGTTTATTAACAGCAATGAAATCAATACTTTTGATATTATCGTTGGAGTGAACGGCCGTCTCATTAATTCTGTGAACGAATTGAGAGATTATTGCAAGAATTGTAATCCCAATGATGGCATCGATATATCTATTATCCGAAAACTCGACACAGAAAACAAATTGCAATTTCAAGTCAAACCCCAATCCATTGTCTCTCCACTTATTTAACTTTATTTATAATAATAGCTAAATTCAAACACATTTTATTAACTTTTTTGATAATTATAAATCTTATTTCAATCCTATTTTACATGTATTAACTATATTAAACTTTATTTTAGTTGTAAAACATTTAAAATGTCATTACTTTACTATTAAAAATACGGATTCATTTCAATTACTTATATCAAAATCATTATTTAAATAGCAATAATTGCAACAATTATTGTTTAGATAACTTATCCGCAGAAAATACAGTAATCTAATACATTATTATCATTAACACCGAGATATTAATCCCATAATTAAATCGTAATTCAATTTAAATAGCAATCATTTAAATTATGTTTTAATTTGAAACTTTCAATAAGTATTACAAAGAAATAAAATAATTTATTTGAAAAT